TTGTTTCTGTTTTACTGAATTTTCTATCCTCAGTCACTTCAAAGCACATAGTAAACTGAGTTATAAACAATGTCCGGAAATAGTTCTGGCTACTTCTGCACCGAAGCACAGCAGTTTTCCAGCAATACACATCAGCTCTACACAACTGAGTTGGCAAGGGAGCGAAGACCGCCACAGCACGACACGGGCGCAGTTAGCAAGGCAAGCGGCAGAGCTGGAGCTCAGTTGAGATTAATATTCTTGATTATTCTTACGATGGGGAATATGGGGCTCTGTGTGACGGAAGGTTTCCAGGAACACAAGTTTACTTCTTGTCTTAGCACTGGTTTCTTTTCCCAACTGTCTTTAAGTGCAGTGTTATTTATGCCCTGGTACATCTGCCTTATATTTCAAACACTTCTTCCCGCAATGTCAAAGTCTTGCCAAATGGCCTGTTAGCTGCACAACTCTGCTATGGACCGTGGAGGAGATAGCGTGGCTGTTTAAGGGTTGCAATCCCAGTTATTGTCCCTGCGTCACTGCTCATGCCATGTAGCCCTGAGGGAGGAATAGGAGCCTTCATCTGCGTTCCTGTGTAGGAATGGTGTCCCTCTGGCATGGCGGGAGTAAGAGAGGATAGGTCCTTTTGCAGATGTATATTTACATAGACATTTCTTGTAAGTGCCACTGACTTCAAGACATCCTTTGGTAGATTAGCACCTGTAAGGTTCCTTTGTCATGGAAATTATACAGTGAGCACCAGTCATTAAAAATGGGATAAACTCTTTCATCTTAGGTTATGAGTTTGATTCCTGAAGTCTTATGCTATTTTTCACAGTCAGAAGTCTCAAGTTTGGTTTGTTTATATTAGGTTTTCCTTCCTTATCTTGTTCTTGAGAGCAGGACAGTCCTCTTACTCTGGAGAAATATAATTTCTGTGAGGCTGTAGGTTTGCACCAGCCTCAGAAAAAAGGTCTCTGGAGCTTGCAGTTAAATGCTTGATTCTGCAAGTTTCCAGGGTGCGTGGGTTGAGTTTGCTGTGCTTTCTCAGACCTAGTACAGGTGTGTGAATTCTGGCTGCTCATGACCTTGGAGAGTCAAGCCTTTAGGCAACTAATAGACAATGCTGAAAAAGGAAGAGGTGAAGGATATGGTGATTTCCCAGTCTGACCTTAATTAATCCCCTTGTGTTTGGGGTAGGTCTGAGATTATCTCAGCATGCTGGTGGTTAGAAATGTGTTTGTGTTTGAATGTGCACGTAACTATATTATGTATGCATCTATATGCTATCTATAATAAATATCTATTATGTACATTATATATATTTAAGGAAATAAATGATCTTAAGAACTCAACAATTACCAGCAGTTCCAAAAAAGTTGATGCTAAAGTGTTTCTGATCTGGATATAGCACTTATAGCTGCGTCTGGCTGCTCACCAGCTCCTCGTAACAGTTGTTTTAAGGCGTTACTACAGTCACTTAGATCCTGCACAAAGCAGGAGGCTTTTCCAGGCCATCTGAGCAGGAAACAGGGGAGCTGTGAAGCCTCTGGTCCGAGAAAAATATTGCAAGTTGATGTCGTGCATAAGAAGCCAGCTGCTGCGAACATGAATTTTGCAGATAAACCCTGCTAAAGGGGGAGGAGGGGAGAAGACTGCGGAACTGTTCAAATGTCTTCCATCTCTTCTTTGCTAAGTGAATTATTCGTACTCACTTCTTTTTCTTGAACAAGACCAGAAAAAGATACAGAAGGGTTTGTGAAGTTGGGCCTTCTTTACAGAAATTCAATGTCCCAGATTCTCCAACTGAGGAGCAGGAAAGTTGTGTTTGGTGGAGATCATTTCCACGTTGGCTGTGTCTATATTGCTCCCATAAGCCTGGGGGTCGCTAATTTGGCTGTTGGCCTCATGACTGCAGCAAGGCAGAGCTCCACAAAAAATTCCTGCAAAGCATGTGGGCAGCACTGAGCTGTGTGTGGCCGTGGCTGGCTCGCGAGCAGGACCCGACCTAGCCAGGTTAAAACTTGCTCTGGTGACTCAGTGTGAGCTGCGGTCTTGACTCACCAGTCCATCCTTTCCCACACAAGGAGATCTCCCACCAGTTGACTTATCCTGAAGAAACTCTGTGAGGTGCCAGCATAGTTGTGTCTGGCCTGCAGACATCATGTTGGAGCATGGAAGTTGTTTCCTGCTCTGCATTTGGTACTGGTGGCACGGGAACAAGTCTTTGTTTGCATGTCCTGAGTTCAGTGGGGCTATATTTCAGGGGTGGATGGAGCATTAACCTAGTTTCAGAACCTAAATTCCTCATGCGTGTTTACTTTGTCCTTATATAGGCAAATTTCTAACTTTGATTACTTAATGAAAGGGAAGGATTTCTAAATTCTTCAAGCTAAAGCCAAATGATCTCTTCGGGAATGGGCCGTTCTACTGCAGGAAGCGTCATGCTTGGGGGAAAAGTAGCACTGTGCACGTTCATATTTCATAGTCTCATCACATGAAGTTGTCATATCTTTCTGATGCGTGCTCCAGGTTTATCTCTAAAAATGCAAATGTGTCTGAACACAGAGTCCCTCCTTCGTTAAGCATTAAAGGTCCTTGGTAAATATGCTGCAGGAGCAAGGCTGTGTTACGGGCCACTGTGGTATGAGCAGCTTGCTCTGTATTAGCAAAAAGTGATGAATGAAGCTTTGGTGGACGAAAACAGCTCCTTCCTGGGATTCTTCTGATGAAGGAAACGTCTCAAAGTCACCTCATTTGTTTCACATTTCACCAGGACAATCTGGAATTGTTCTTTCATAGCTTTGGGCCATTAGCCGTTGCTGGGGATAAATGGCGTTCCACACCTCTTAGAACTTAGCTACCAGCACAAAAGATGAAATTAAACCGCTTTTGTTTTGATTTATATTCCATGGGATTTTTTTTCTTCTTTGACTGGATAGATAGAGCCAACATCTCTTAGAGACACAGCTCTCTAAATTTGCATAAATCCACCTCAGCTGCCAATGAACTGCAGTCCTTTCTTCCAAAGATATTTACAAACATTAATGAACTAAGCCTCACAGTCAATCCCATATGCTTTAGAGAACTTATCCCTTCTGTGGCGAGGCATCTGAGTTACTGATCGATTTAAGTAGAACAGTTGGAAGTATAACCCTGGTTTGCTATCAGTGCCATGTGTCTTGGCTGCAGCAGAACTCCATCTCTCTTAACCTCTTTTCAGTTGGAAAAACATATTTTGTCCAGCAGCCAAAGGGAAACGCAAGCATCCTGGTGGAAAATAAGCTGCTTCAAAACCCTGGCTGCAAGCTACCCACACATCGCAGTTGTCAGCCAGGCTGCACATGTATAGTTACAGGGAATAAAATAGAGAGGACCTTCTGCTCCTATTCAGAAAGGTCTCTACCCATTCACCTACACCAAAGGATCTTCGTCAGCTGCCAGTATTAATTTGTTCTCCTATATGGGTTTCCAGCCCAAGGAGGGTAAAATAAGACTTAATTCTATCCAGCAGGGGCCCTTTCAATGCAAATGCCAGCCCATATATTACAAAGCGTTAATGCAACCAGCTTCTAAATTACTTGGGGTAATTTCTGGTTTTATTTATGCCTCCTTTTCTTTAATTAACTTCTGGGAAGAGAAGCTGCAATATCAGTATGGGGAAAATCAAATATGAGAAACGTAGCCCATTTTTATTTGGAGACTGTGTTTCTCTTGTGATAGCAGATTGTTTAAAGAGGAGCCTGCAATGATCCAGTTTAAGCAAAGCAAAGCGCTTTACTGAAGCCAAACTGTGTGTGGGTGTGCTCTTGTCAGGGCTCCCAGAAGAGGAGGGCAGCAGCGGCTGTTACTCAGATCTCATATATCGCAGGAGATGGTGGTGGTTATTCTGTAGCTGGCATTTTGCCTTGCCACACCAGTACAGAGCCACTCCTCTGCTATACTGGGAGAAGGTGCATCCCCGGTGGGAAAATCTCAGATAACCAAGTTCCTGCTCTTTTGTTGTCATAAAAGAAAATCCGAAGGAGACCTGTGGCAGGGAGAGGTATGCACTGCAAGGTCGTACTTGAACCTAGCTGGGGGGTTTGCAGTGGCAGAGAGTGGGTAGCCCGGGTTGTGCTGGGCAAGCGGCCGTGGAGGGGGGAGCCTTGCTGCATGAGGGCTGGTAGCTTCGCATGGGCAGAGCAGGTCCCTCCCAAGTGGTGAGAACCTCTTCTCTCTGCAAGCCCCACGAGAGCAGGTGACCAGGTCAATTTAAGAAAAAAGAATTAAATAAATTGGTGAGTTGCTTTTGAAGCAGCAGGTGAGATTAACACAGAGGATAAGGTGCAACTCTGTTTCCACTGGTGAATTTGAATGTTCTTTATGATATAGCCATGGGTTTGATTTTCAATTATTTGTCTTGGAGATAGAGAATGATTGTACTTTATTTATAGAAAGCTGCATAGTCCCAGATTCTAAGTGGTGAAAAGCATATCTGCACCCATCTGCAGTAAGCACCACAACACAATTAATTATATTCAGGAACGCTAATTAAATTTTATCCAATGATAAATAAGTTAGAACTGAATATAACATTTCTTTTAAAAGAAAAACACCTACTTAGACATTCATTGCATAGACCTGTGAAAATTACTGTAAACAAGGAACAGGGCATGCAGACGCTGAGCCCGTGTAGTTATTGATTGGTCTGTTCAGGGCATCGTTCAGTTACTTATCCTCTGCTTCCCCTCTTCAAGGAGATCCCCCCTTGCTCAATTCTTTCCATTGATTTTGAGTCTGCCTATTCTGAAGCTGAAAATGGTGATGCTGGTGGACCAAGCACAAGAACAGCAATCGATGACAACTATAGTTTATTATTTACTGTTTCTGTATTTTAAAGGGGAAAATGTATTAATGGCAGCCTGATTTTCTGTTTTAAACATATCATGCAAACTCACAGCAATTCATAAACTCTTGGACATTCTTATTCTCTCTCAAGCGATCTTTTTGTTTTTTCTCTCCCTGCCCTCTCCCTGCAGATAGCGAAATCATTCCTCCCGACTGCCTGCGGCCCCGGTCCTTCACTGCCATCCGCCGGCCCTCGCTGCGACGGGAGACAGAGGACACGCGCCTCTCCGTCAGCCTCTGTGACCTCAACCTGCAGGAGGAGACCTTCCACGTGATGGCCACCACGTGCCCCATCCCGCAGAACTCCCTCAACTCCCAGCACTCCCACCTCCTCCCCTCCCAGCTCGAGAGCGACCTCCGCTTCCACCAGCTCAGGGGAGCCCACATTAAAATTCTGGATGACCAAACTGTGGCCCGGCTGGAGCATGCCCGGGAAGAGAGGACTTTGGTTTTCACCAGCAGACCCCTTAGAATCAATGAAACCATTTTTGTCAAAATTAACAAGTCCAACGCCGCGCGCACCGGGACGCTGTCCTACGGGGTAACGTCCTGTGACCCCAGCAGCCTGCGGCCCAGCGACCTTCCCTATAACCCTGAGTCTTTGGTCGACCGGAAGGAGTTCTGGGCCGTCTGCCGAGTCCTGGTGCCCCTCCAGAGTGGAGACATCTTGGGATTTATGGTGAATTCGGATGGCGAGCTGCACTTGAGTCACAACGGTGCCAGCACCGGCATGCAGGTCTGCGTGGACTGTTCCCAGCCCCTCTGGATGTTCTTTGGTTTACACGGCGCAGTCATGCAGATTCGCGTGTTAGGTATGTCTCAGCGCCTTTTTCACAGCCTCAAACACAAAGCACCAAGGGGGGTTTACAATGCAGGGGAAGTGTAAAGGGAAGGAATGAAAGTTCTGGTGATTCCCTCCCTACTCTAGGATCAGTTACAAATTTTATTTTAAAAGAGGAAAAAAATATCGATTTACAAAGGCCTGTGCATAGCACATGGATATCAGTTACAAGACTTACCTCTTTACACTCCTCCAGCATCTTTCGTTTGAAGGTCTCAAAGCTCTTTTCAAATGGCTGAAGCCTCAGAGTCCTCCTTTGAAGTACAGATTGGTCACCCTTAGCCTAGGAGAAGCAAAGACAGGGAAGAGAGGTGCTTTGGGCTGAGCTAACCTAGGGCACGTCTAGCAAGAAGAATGAGATCTGCTTCCCTATGTATTAACTACCTGACAGCGCTCATTCCCAAAAGGAGCCGTCTCCGTACTTCTCCTAGGCTTATGTGTGAGAAGCAGGCTAGCAAGGAGTGTGAAAGGGCCCTTTGCCTCGTGATTGCAGAGCCGCACAAAGCATAGCACTGACCAGCACAGTGCCAGAGAACGCTCCTGCTCCTCCAGCCTTATGCAAGGCAGTGTTGTTCATGCATTCGATGAACTTTTGCAAAACTGGCCTCTTTCTCATGCTAATTTTGGTCTATCTTTAAGCTCTGTTCACCAAAGGACTTTAAATGCTGAAAGTCATGTTTTGAAAATGTGGAGGAAAAAGCCCTGAAATGGCATTTGCTCAGGATCAAACTGACTTTTTTTGTGTGTGGTTATTGGACAGGTGTCATCTTCACATAATCACAAGTGTTGGCCCTGTTGGCCTTGAATTTGGACCATATTAGTGTCAGAAACTAAGTAATGGTCTCCGAGAACTCTGTCTAATTCCTGAACCTCCTCCAACTGGTTTACGCATAAGAGTCAACACATTTGCTTAAGGGCCAGTTAGACTACCTGCCTAAGAACTAATCCAGTTATTGGCTTGGGGAGGATGTCTCATGGTAAAGAAAGCTCTGCCATATTAGGGGAAAATCTATAGTAATGTCATCAGCATTTGCATTCTTAATAGGGGAATTACAAAAAATTAATTAAACCTTTATAATTAACATCACCACTGGTATAGTGGAGACAAACCAATTTAAATTAAAGCCACTCAGAGATTTGGCTTTGAGGAACTATTTAGCTGAAGCCAAACACCAGAATTTGGTTGAAATTGAGTCAAATGTCTTTCTCCAAATACTCCAAATACTGGAAACTGAATTGTTAAAAAGGGCTTCTGCCTTGCCTAGTATCTCTAGCATGGCAGGTTTGCTGCTTCTTCACTATCCTGCCTTTCACTGGTTCATGTCAGGCGCTGGCCTGGCCTTTCCCTTCTCTCGCTCCTCCAGCTGCACCATCTCCCTCCAAATCAGGGTATAGCATCAGCCGTTCACTCGGGTGCGAATTCATAACCCAGCAGGGGCCTGTTCCCTCGAGGGCAAGCCACCTCCCCTTATATTTTTTCACTGTGCACATTTAAGCCAAAAACATTTAATATCGTATGAGTTGTATCAGACACTAGCAGCCCAGCAAGTTCGTCTCTGTATCTCAAGTGGCGCTGTCTAGTTAGACGAATTGTTTTCCCGACTGAGATGTCTCAGGGAGATGTCCTCACTGAGACATCTGTGTCCCATAGATGGGGCAGGCTCACAGTAAATAAATCACCCTCTTTAGGTGCATAATTTTACATTTATAAATAAGCTTGTTTATGCGATTAGATACCCAATTTGCATGCATAGCTCATGCAAATGATAATAAATGGGGCTTACTGGTGCACTTAGATGATGTGAAAATGCTCCTTTATTGCTTATCTTGTTATATTCACATAACTTTAAATACATCTATATTCCTTTTTTTGTTTCAAATTCTCCCTATTAAAATGCCTCCTTTTACCCAGCCGGAAAAAAAACCCTGAACAACTAACAGCTCCTTTTTCAGGGTGAGTAGACAGTCTTTGAAGATAAATTGTGATGAACGCGCACCTCTGTCTGCAGGGTTCAATTCACCTTAATCACAGTCTTAGGTGTCCTAAACAATTTGCTTAAAGTTGACCATTGGCCTGTGCTGTGAATATTTTGTGGCTATTACAGGCTCATAGATGACAAATGTAATACTATAATTTATCTCCAGGAACTCAAGAATCAAACCCCAATAGTTCAGTTTGATTACATTTCTTGTGTAGGTTGTACATAACCCATGGCTAGCTCTGCTCTCAGCCAACACATCATTTTGGTAAAGGTAGATGAAGTCAAACAGATCCCAGTCAAAGTAGGAAGATTAAATGCTCCTATATACGTAAGAAGGAAAACATCCTCAGGCCATTTAGCTGCTGGTAAAACTAAGTCATTGGACCATTACTTCCTTTCCTATGAGATCACTAATTTTGCCAGTTTTGCACAGAGCAAATAGCCTGTTTGCCATAGGTCCTAAGACGGGGCAGAGAGGATGTTTTCCACCAGAAGATCACACTCATGTCCTCCTGGAAAATTTGGCAGAGCACAGACTTGAACGTCGGCCTCCAGCAACCTGGGCAAACCTCCTGCTGAGCAAGTTGTTACCTAGTCTGTGTATGTCTTCCCAACCCGCTCACCAGATCAGCCAAAACCAGTACATTCCCAGTGGACGTTTTAGATAAATCCATATTTTCCACTGAAAATCTGCTCAGAAAACTCCTCACTACCTGTATTTTGTGAGCATGTAACAAGGTTTTCCTGGCCTCAGTCACTGGAGAACAAGCAGAAAATGGGCTCTTGCATCTTAAGTGAGATATAAATGAAGACAATTGAACATGCTGGAGTAGCCTTGCCTGAGGACAGGAGAGGACCCTGCTTGGAGTGCAGCCCTAGTCAGCTTGGGCAGCAAGCTGCCATTGCCCAGCAAAAAAAAGCTATGAAATTAGAGCTTGCCTATGATCTTTAACAGGTGCTAAAATATAAATAGACCTGTGTTTGCAAAACTGTGGTGCAGTGCCACTGTTCAGAAAGCATCTATGATGCTGTCTCCAACACAGCACAACTGTAGCTGCAGTAATTATACAGATCAGCCATACCCTGACAGAAGGAAAAAGCACATAATGACCTAGCATCTCTGGCTTTTGCAATACAATTACAGTGCAAGCAAACAGTGATGTGCACTGTTTGCACTGCAGTAGAACAGCTTATGGCACTTTCTGCAATATCTGTCGCTATAATATTAGAAAATATAAGAAGAATATAAAGCATTCATCTTCTACCTAATGACAAACTCCATCTTCAAAATGCAAACAAGAGTAATTTTATGTGATCCATCTTTTGTAGTTAGAGCTTTATATCACAGGAGAAGACATGTTTATAGTCATCTTTTCTAGCTTTAATGGAAAATGTGAAGTTCCATATTCTTGAAATGAATGAAACACAAGCACTGCAAGAGGGATAATGACAGCAAACCTATCTTATATAGCAGATGTCATTCTATTTCTAGGGCATCTCTTTTGCCATTATTAGATTAATCAAAGCACTATTGTGCACTGTTAAAGGAACGTCAGAGCTACAGCAAACTGTACAGTACAGGAAAGGAAAGCTGCTGTTTCTACTTTCTCTCCAGTTTTTCTGCTTCTTTTGAAGGATGGAGAAGGTGGAGAGCAGCAGTGCCACTCTTGCAACTCGAGAAGTTTTACTTTTGACTCAGGAAACTGGATGGCTCAGGGCTTTCATCAGTGGCTACTGCATTTCAGACCTTGAGATTAGTTATTTAGTCCTGACCCAGAGCAGGACCAAGCTCGGGCCTTTCCTAGATAGCGGCCTCAGGGTGGAAGCTGACATTTGCTAACAGCAGCTGTTACACAGTATCAGAAATGCAACTTTTATTTCCTGATTTAAATATTAAGGGAGACCATGTTTACCTGGGCTGATGATGGTCTTGCAGAGCTCTCTAAGAGATGGGGCAGTGTGGGACTGGTTTGACAGTAGGGAATTCTGATGTCTGTTTCAGTCTTACCAATCTGGTGTTGTAGTCTGGCAGTACTTTTACCATAGGGGAAGTAAAAAAGCAGAAAATAAAGGCAAGTTTGGAAACACTTTGTGTTTCTTTTTGTCACCCAGAAAAGGGAAAATGAATAAAGTCCAAGCATCTCTTTAGGACAGTGAGAGACTACAGTCAGCTGTAGTGGGAGGCAGAAGGACGTCAATTTGTTTCACTTACCAAAGAAAAGATTGAGAGGCAACTTGACCACACGGAGGGAAGATAAATGAAAGTAGAGGGCACTTCACTGTAGCAGATAATAGCATAAAAATATCAAGCTGCTGGAAAATGAAGGTATACAAATTCAAACTGTACATAAGTGAAGGTAATTAACTATGGGAATCAGCTATTGAGAGAGGCAATAGATCTCCTTGTCAAGATCGGAAGCCTTTCTAAATATTTTATATGTAAGGTGCTGCTCTTAATTCTGAAATTCTATGGGTTGTGCACGTAGGACGACCAAAAAGAAACCGAAATCGTTAGGGGGTAGAAGTGAAACACAGGGTTTGCATGTGCTTTAGGAATTCCATTGTTTCAGGCTTGTGGTTTTCTTCAGGCATCATTCCTGTACAGTAGACACGACCAGACTGTTAAAACTGATTTATTGGTTTCAGCTTTTCCTGGTAAGCATTTCAGTTCACACAGAGTTTTATCAACAGCTCTGAAAGATTGAAATGAGCCAGTCTGGATATATTGGTCTGGTTTTGGTGTTGTAATTCACTTACGGAGTTTAAATTGATTGACCCCATAAGGTTTTGAAATGTATGACTCATGTCTGGAGGAACTATCACAGCGACAAGTTTATATATTTAGTATTTGGGGAGCCAAATGGTTGGGGATATTCTTTCATTTTGTTATATCTCAAAATGAATCACCAGCATGTAAAACATCTTCCTTCTTCTCTTTTATTTTGTTTTTTTTTAGTGTGATTTCCCTTGTGAATTACATCCTTTCCAT